TGGTTCTTTTTTCATGCCACGTCACTTTTTAATCCAGGGTACGGATAAAAAAGGACCAAAATTGATGGAATCGACAAATTATAGGATCTAAATTGAAAGTGGTCAATATAGAGGTGGTTTTTTGGACAATGCCCAAATTATAAGACCAATTTTAAATTTTTGCCCTACATAAAGTGTATAGGGCGAGCATATGTCGCTTCAAGAGCTAATATGCATAAAATGCGTGAGAATCTTTAAGAATTTATTTAACTTCTCATTATAGGGAGAATCTTAAAATTTATGTAACTTCTCATTATACCGCATATTGGGAGATCTTACCATTTATTCAACTTCTCAGTATGGTCTATATATATAATGGGGTGAGCATATATTGCTTGAAGACAAATAGGGGTGAGCATATGTTGCTTAATTATACTTGAGTGATGCAAAACTAAACTTTATTGCTTATCAAGTTCCAATTTTACTTATTAAGTTTGAATTTTACGTAATTATACGCTACATATTAACTTATTAAACATAATAAAAATTGGTAGAGCAACTAAACTTATTTCGTATCAAATATATAAAACAATTAACCAACCAGGAAGACGATGCATTTAAATATTATCCAGGAGATAATATCCAAAATTTAGATATTACTTCCAAAATTTAGATACGGCCCTTCTAAAAAGTTGAAGAACTTCAGGTGTCTGTAACCTATTACTTTCAAAATTTTGGACTTCTAAACTATAAATTGAAGAACTTCCTTAGGTGTCTGTAACCTATTACTACTTTCAAAATTTAAATAGGCCCGGACAAAAACTTCCTTAGGTGTCTGTAACCTATTATTATTTCCAAAATTTAAATATGCCAAAAACTTCTAAACTTTAGGTTAGAGAACTTCTAAACTTTAGGTGTATGTAGCCTATTTTGTTCACAAATTGATATAACTTATGTATATTCTTAAATCTATATAGATTACACTAACAGATTTTTATTATGCTTTAAAATTTATGGCACTATTTTGGTATTTATATATATATATATTGTATTAATCCAACCTTTAAAAAAGTTTATCCATATCTCTTCTAGTAGAATTTGGAAGAATAAATACCATTTTCATGAATACTGTGTGCTTTCCAAAAAAATTTACTCCATGTTATACTAATATGAACAAAAATAAATATTTATAATATTACATGTTATATTTTTATTTTTATTATTTTCTAAAATATAGCTCTTCTCTAAAAAAAATATACATATTTATTAGAAAATATATTTCTCTAGTAATTAATCTGACCTAACAATTATAAATTAGTTCAATGTATCAATTGAACTGTATTGTTATTTCTACTTTTTTTTGAGAAAAAACTCAAGGTGTTTTTCCCACAGTTTTGAAAATCGGACCAGCCCGACGGGTTCGGGTGGGCTGATCGGACCGGGTAGCAAGAGACCCGGTCAACCTGGCTTTGACCAACCATTAAATACATTTTCCCTTTGGAAAAAGCTACTTGTACAACTTTTTTGTACAACATTCAATGACAACATGATGTTGCACAATGTAGGTGGCTGAGATGCAAATAAATGTATGGTTAAGATTTAAGTTAATGGTACATTTAACCATTTTGTCAACTAATATTGTAAACTACAATTGTACATGTAGCATTGCCCCCTTTTCCTTTTTAATTTTATAAATAAATTATATTTATATTTATTAAGACTTTGAGGCATAAAATTTACAAATAAATATATACAAATTTAAATTTTATAAAATTAATTATCCGATTCAACAATTGACCGGTCGATAACTCGACAGTTGGACTGATGACCCGATATAATGATCAGGAGTCCAGCTCGAGTCAATCACCAAATCAAGTTTTACAATTATAGTTTTACCTCCGTTTCATTTTATTATTCAATTTTTCTCGTTTTTGATCCGGGAGAGGTGGAACCCCACTGTCCATTGTGTCATCCAAATTTGATGGCCTTTTCATGAAAGTAAAAAGTGGGCCGACCCGGCCGACGGAAGAAGACAAATTTCGGA